AATGATAATAGTCATAATAAATGATGATATATAATAATAATGATAATAATAATGATAATAATGATAATAACAATGATAATAATAGTAAGAATAGTAATCATCATCATCATCATAACAATAATGATAATAATAATAATTATAATAAAATGATAATTATAATAATTATTATAGTAATAACATGAATAACAATAATGATAATAAAGATGATGATAATTTTTTTATAATTATTATCACTCTCATAATAATAATAATAATAATAATAATAATAATTTTTTTACTATTATTATTTTTATTATTGTCATTATTATTATTATATTGTTTATTATTATTATTATTATTATTATTATTATTATTATTATTATTATTATTATTATTATTATTATTATTATTATTATCATCATCATCATCATCATCATCATCATCATCATCATCATCATCATCATCATCATCATCATCATCATCATCATCATCATTCATCATTATTATAATATAATATTTTTTATTATTCATTATATCATTATTTATTATTATTGTATATTATTATTATTATTATCATTATTATTATTATTATTATTATTATTATTGTTATTATTATTATTATTATTATTATTATTATTATTATTATTGTTATTATTAGTAGTAGTAGTAGTAGCAGTAGTAGTAGTAGTAGTAGTATTGTTGTTGTTGTTGTTATTATTATTATTATTATTATTACTATTTATTATTATTATTATTATTACTATTATTATTATTATTATTATTATTATTATCATTATTATCATTATTATTATTACAATTATAAATATCATAACGATCATTCATCAGCATAATGGTTAATCGTTACCATATTTGTTATCAATATTATTACAATCGTGACAATTATGAAAATAATGATGATATTGGTAAAAATGACGGTAGTGATGATTCATAAATGTTGGTAAACATAATAACGATATCGATAATATTAGATGTTAAAAAAAGAAAAAAAAATATATGAATCAACGCACGCTACTATCTTAATGAAGGCTTAAGTAATAAAATGTCAACGCGCATGTCTGTGTGCGTATGACCAAATAGAATAAAAAAAAAAAATACCTTGTAAGGAGTACGTTTTAAAAAAATCGTGCGAGCGCCATAACCGACCACTTGCCAGATGTATGATGGGTACCTCGACGCACGTGTTTCACCTTTCGCCTCCTCGACCTTTGACCTCGGCACGCGACCACTCCGTGTCTGTGTGTGTTTGTTTGTGTTTGCATATGCACGTGTGTACATGTGTACACGGGTCGATGTACGTGTTATGGATATTAGTGTCGAGTAGGTGTGTCTTTGTGACTGTTTTTAAGAGCGTTTGGGATTTTGTTATTGTTATCCTTATCATTGTTACAATTATCATTATCACTATTATTAGTATAATTATCATCATTATTGTTATTATCATATTAATAATAATTACTTCTAATACTACTGCAAACCACCACCACACCTACTACTACTATCATCATCACCATCATCACCATCACTACCACCATCATCATCATCACCACCACCACCACCATTATTATCATCATTACAACCATCATCATCATGACCATCACCATCACAATCACCACCATTATCATCATTGTCACCACCACCACACCATCATCATCACCACCACCATTATCATCATCATCATCATTATCATCATTATCATCATCACACCACCACCACTACCATCACCACCACATCATCATCATCATCATCATCATCATCATCATCATCATCATCATCATCATCATCATCATCATCATCATCATCATCATCATCATCATCATCACCGCCACCACCACCACCACCATCATCATCATCATCATCATCATCATCATCGTCATCGTCATCGTCATCATCATCATCATCATCATCTCATCATCATCATCATCATCATCATCACTCACCACCACCACCACCACCATCACCACCACCCCCACCACCACCCCCACACCCCACCACCACCCCCACCACCACCCCCACCCCACCACCACCCCCACCACCCACACCACCACCACCCCACCATCACACCACCCCACCATCACCACCACCACCCCCACCACCACCACCACCATCACCACCACCCCCACCCCCACCACCACCCCCACCCCCACCACCACCCCACCACCCCCACACCCCCACCCCCACCACCCCCACCACCACCCCACCACCCACACCACCACCACCCCACCATCACCACCACCCCCACCACCACACCCCACCACCACCACCCTCACCACCCCCACCCCCCACCACCCCCACCACCCCCACCACCACCCCCATCACCACCCCCATCACCATCCCTCCACCACCACCACCCACCACCATCCCCACCACCATCACACCACCCCACCACCCACCCCCCCACCACCATCACCACCCCCATCACCACCCCACCACCATCACTATCACCTCCACACCACCACCACCACCACCCCCACCACCACCCCCACCCTCACCACCACCCCACCACCACCCTCACCACCCCCATCCCCACCACCCCCACCACCCCACCACCCCACCACCCACCCCCCACCCCACCCCCACCCCCCACCCCCACCCACCCACCACCCCCACCACCACCCACCATCACCACTTCTACATCCCACTCCATCCCTCACAACCCAAGGCAGGCGACCGGAGCGTAGGAGAGCGAGGATGACGCGCGATCTATCATACATTTTATGAAACCCGGAGAAGTGGAAGGCGCAGGCATCACCGTCCGACCGGTTCCAGGAAGGGCCGTCCATCGACCATTTTAATGCTTCGTGAACCCAGTCGAAAACATTTCTTTAATAAACAGTTTCATCGGGGAGAGGGGAGCAGGAGGGGGGCGAGAGAGGGAGAGAGAGAGAGAGAGAGGGAGAGAGAGAGAGAGAGAGGAGAGAGAGAGAGAGAGAGAGAGAGAGAGAGAGAGAGAGAGAGAAGAGAGAGAGAGAGAGAGAGAGAGAGAGAGAGAGAGAGACAGAGAGAGAGAGAGAGAGAGAGAAAGGGGGGGGGGAGCTTTCGGTGGATGTTATTAAAACATGGATAAAACAAAAGTTTTTGTTTTGTTTTAGTGTTTATGTCATTGGTGTTATTTTGCGGTTGATCGAGGTAAGTATAAACCATCATGGCGGGTTCAGACTTTTAAGACAATAATATCGTGTTTTTAAAATGCCTGATGCAGTGTTAGCGATAAAGGCAACTAACCGGTGGAGCATATAACGTGGAATCGTGTGATCTTTATGCGAGATCTGATAGGGAAATCGGGTATAGCGGCTCCCTTGATTCACAACTAAAACCGAGACAGGTCAATTTATTTTCCGTGAAGCATGAAACAAGAAATGAATATACAGAGAAAATGTACAGGGCGGTTAGTTATCCCCGTAAATTCTGCCTCGCGCGCAGATTTTTATCTTCCGGTTCCTCCAAGAATGGATTTCTTCTTGTAACTCGATCTTCAAAGAGTCTCAGATTTGCTCCCAGATGTTGGAGTTGGTCATTTGGTCTTTAAGTCTATCGAGAACCTGCTCCAAGGCTTCAAGAAACGCGTTGATCTTTTTTATGGATCTTGTAATGTTAAGCATAATTTTCTATTCTTATTTTTGTTGTTTTGGTGCTATCGTCGTCTTTGTTAATGTTGTTTGTATAATAACTCCCTTTTACATTATCGTTGTAGTTAGCAGTCCCATTATAAGTATGATCATCACTATTACTTTAGACAAGATTTAGTACCAAGCTTGATACCGCATCGTAATCATTATTTCACGAGAATGAAATGATGCTACTGTCATTATCTTCTCTTCGTTTCGATTTTTATTGCTCCTGTGTTCCCTCACCTCTTCACGCTTCACATCCTAGCCACCGTCATCCTACCTGTTTTAATTAAAGACCCCATTACGAAGCACAAGCACTCCCCATTGTAAGTCCTGTGAGTTTAGGAGAGTTCGTGTCAGGATGTGAGGGTAGAATGGGTATCTTTGGCTTCTTCCCTTCTCACGATACTCTCCAACCTCCTTGCTCTTCCTCTCTTTCTTTTCCTTGTCCATATTTTTCTCTCTTATCTGTTTGTTCTTTTTTCCTTCTCCTTTATTCCTTTATCTCTTCATAGTGTTTTCTTTTTCCTGATCGCTTTTCTCTTTTTTTCCTCGTTCTCTCTTTCTCCTCTTCTTTTTGTCCCTCCTTTCTCTTATTTTCTTTTTCTTCTTATATTCCTCCCTTCTCTTTGTTCTCTCTTTCTCTTCTCCTTATTCTCTCTTTCTCTTCTCTTTGTTCTCTCTTTCTCTTCTCTTTGTTCTCTCTTTCTCTTCTCTTTGTTCTCTCTTTCTTTCTCTTTTCTGTTTGTCCTCTCTTTCTCTTCTATTTGTTTTCTCTTTCTCTTCTCTTTGTTCTCTCTTTCTCTTCTCTTTGTTCTCACTTTCTCTTCTCTTTGTTCTCTTTCTTTACCCACATTCCTCCTTCCCTTCTCTTAGTTCTCTCTTTCTCTTCACTTACTTCCCATGGCCTTACTTATCCCACAATTTATGCTTCAAGTTACTGATGAAAGTGCGCCCGGGCGAGATACTCTGGCGTCGTTACGAGTGTATCAGTTATTTAACGCTGTGATAAGGAATGCCCCTTGACGTGTTATTGACTTGGGAACTGTTAATTGGTCTGTTCTTAGCGAGATGGGAGTATCTGATTTTTTAATTCATTGTAGTTTTTTGTCACATTCGTATATTCTAGCCAGTTTGGTTTGCAAACACGCACACACACACACACACACACACACACACACACACACACACACACACACACACACACACACACACACACACACACACACACACACACACACACACACACACATATATGTGTGTGTGTGTGTGTTGTGTGTGTCTATGTATATATATTTATATATGCATGTACATACACACGTAAGCATGCCTTTATTCACTGTAATATATGTTTAGACATACGTAATAGTAACCACCATTCTTCCCCTACAGGATCGGGCGCCGTGGGCCTCGCACACTTCGACAAGTGCAGCCACGACGAGTGCCTCAGCGGCGTCCACATCTGTTCCCATGACGACGGCGTGATGCACCTGCTCACGCGCGTGCAGGAGCTCTCCATGGGGTACACAGAGGGCCGTCTCGAGCTCTGCGTCGTCGGCGGATTCCAAGACGCGAGGGCCATCTGCGAGAAGGTCACGCTCTCGCTGCTCAGTAAGTGCTGCGAAGATGAGGGCGTCGGTTGTGTGTGCGGGC